AGCACTCACATCAGCGACAAAAGCGGGTTGTTCATTAGATGACTGTACAAAAATTTCCTGATTTCTTGCCGTTTGTGTATTTTTCGGGGACTGCGATTGCTATGAAAAGGCAGTAGACTAATTTCGCATGCTAACTCTTGGAACATTTGTTCGGATTGTTGGCATGTTTCCAGTGGGCAATTTCCTGCATCCTTTACGCATGGTTCTCATGCGCAGGCACTTGAATTTTTGGCGGGGAAAATTACTTATTGAACAGCTGGGTCATTTTCAAATAAAAACGGCCGCTAAACGGAAATTGTGTATTTCCTTTTATGTAAAATTTACGATGATTTTCGTTTTGAGTGTTGCGGTGTTTCTAGTTGGCAATTTTCTGAATCCTTAAATATGCTAAATTTCAAACGGAAGACCTTTTGTGTGTGCAAATTGGAACAAAAAGTGTCGTCTCCGTTTCAGTTTTATATTTTAATACCCGTAAATTGTTCTGAAAAAAGAATATAAGGAGTATGGTTGCAGGAGAGTGATATTGACATGTATCGTTTTGACGTGGTGACCGGTAGCACTTGCTGGAGCTTGAAAGTGGAAACTCAAGCAGCGAGAAGAATGTGGCTGCGCGCTTTGAAATTCCATATGGTTCGTTGTATTTTTCTGCTGAAACCATTCGTAATAACTGATAAATTTCTAGGCCTAAGTTTACGTAGCTTTTTTTTGGAGCGTTGGAAACTATCTTGCCCCTCTCTCTGTCTCTTCCTGCCTTTAAAATAGGAAGAGCAGGACGGGCCGTAGAGGCCCTATGAGGATCATATCAATACAAACTATGATGAACAGCCCGTCTAGAGGGCTGCAAACACCGGCCAATATAATCAGGGGCGAAACAGGAAGGGTAGTACGAGCCGTAGAGGCCCTATGAGGATCGTATCAATAATAATTGGCCCGTGCCAAGGTGCATTTTTTGCGTAGTTCCCCGCAATTGTCGCTACTGGCATCGGTTTTTTCGGCAGATCCTTTTAGCTAAACAAATTAAGACTGGCCGACAAAACTGGCAGGAAACACTCCCTTAAAATTTCAGCTTTCTAGCTTTCTTGGCTCTTGAGTTAGCAGTTTACTTGAAAAAATTTTTCACGAGCTCGCACTCGGGTACCACGCATACCCGATGTCCGGGTTTGAGCTCATTGAGACTTACTCGGACAGCGAATATAGTCTTAAAACTACAGTCATTTAGCTTTACAGGTTCTCGAGTTATGAGCTTGCCCGAGAAAAACTTTGGTGAACCCATGCGTAGGTACCACGCATGACCGAGGGCTGGATTTGATCTCGTTGAGACTAATGTGAACGAGAAACACCCTCTTAATGTTACAGTCTTCTAGCATATCAGAACCCCGAGCCATGAATTCACGCGGGAAAAATTTTGGCGGACCCGTACTCGGGTACCACGTTTACCCGGGGGTTGAGTTTGAGCTCATTAGTACCTACTTGGATGGGGAACTTGCCCTTGAAATTTTAGCTTTCTAGCTCCTCAGATCCCCGAGTTATGAATTTACCCGGAAGAAACTTTGGTGGGCCCGTACGCGGGTGCCACGCGGGTTATGGCGCCAATTTTGGGGATTGTGGCTCATGATTAAGTACGTGCATGTAGATTAAGTTCCCACAGTTTTAGTCCTGTAGCTTTTGTAGGTTTTGAGGTGAAAAATCGTGACAGACGCACACACAGACGCACAGACACACGGACACACAGACACCCCCCTCGTCAGTATTCGTTTTCTGCATTGCATAGTTGCAAAAAACGCATAAAAACTATGAACAGCCCGTCCGGAAGGTTACTATGAACAGGCCGTTTAAAGCCCAACATGGGATGCCATTGTAATGCAAATTGCAAAGTAGGAATTTACAAGTGAAGAAATTATGGGACTTATAAAATTGCTGGTTGAACTGGTAGTGCTGCTTAGACTCGAGTTGTCCGACTGGGCATTTTTTTTTTGTTTTAATTCGCGAATTTTAATTTCGGGGTTTTTTAAATATACTTTTAATATGGCACGAAATGAAGCAAGAAATATGAGTGGGGAAGTACTACGATCGAAATACAACGTGTAATGAAGAAACTGGCAGTGTTGTGGAATTTGTACATTGATTCGCGGATGTATAAGGGCAGTTGGAATTAGTGCATATGAAGAAGCAAACAGTGCTTTGTGGCGCATAGTTGTTGTTGATGTGGGGGAGGTTCGAGGGCCGTTGAATCTAATTTTAAAGGATAAAGAGAAGTAGGAAAAGTGAAGAAGGAAAGAAAAGCGAAAAGGGAAATGGAAATATGGAAATATTTGTAATAGATGAGAAATGTTTCGATCCATTAAGTCGTATACATTTCTTTCCGTTACAGCAGTTGGACCTCGTCAGTACAACGATTGTGGTAACAAAATAATTTATATGGTTTAGCGTAGCATACAAATTTTTAAGATAAAAACAGAGACAAGAAAGAGAAGAAATAGAAGACGGAAAGAGAAGAAATGGAAGAAAGGGAAAAGTTATAAAATTATAATTATAAAATTAATTATATTATAACATAATTGAAATTATGAAATTATAAAATTAAAGTTATAAAGAAGGGGAAAAGTTAATTTATAATATTTGCGAAGAAAAAAAACGGGCAGTACTGATATACTAGTTACATGCGCAGATAATCGTAAAATTTTCTCATGTATAATGCTCACGAAAATCCAACTGTTCGCCAGAAACGAAAGTACCATTTTTCGAGTGTTTTTCGAGATTTCTGTACATTTGTTTTTTTTTAGACTAGTTACAATGGCCTTTCGGTACTTCATCGAGGAATTTGTGTTGGAAAATCTGCAACATACGACGCGGAAGAGCGCTCCAGTAATGAGGTACATGAGTTCTATGTTATATACAAAGCATTCATTTTGCTTAGGGGTTTGGTGTACATAAAATTATACGAAGTGGATTTATACTGCTTCAGAAGTTGTAAATATCTTACATCAGTTT